CATTAAAAAATGAATGACAAGCAAAAGACTTGGAGAAAATATTCACATTGCATATATATGATAAAGACTTTTATCCAGAATATATTGAGAATACTTGCAGCTCAAAAAGAAACACCTCAGTTTGTTTTTTTTTTCAAATGGGAAAAGAATTTGAGTAGACATTTCAGAAGATAATAACAAATATGCACATGAAAAGATGTTTATCATCACTATTTATCAGAAAATAGATAATTAACTAATTAAAGCCACAATGAGATACCACTAAAATGTGTAATTATGGGTAAATCAAAAAGACATAATAATAAATGCCAGCAAGGATCTGAAGTAACTGGAATTCCCATAGACTGCTAGTGGGAACACAAAATGGTATACAGCCATTTTGAATTAGAGTTTGTTTATCATAAAGTGAAACTCATATATACCATACTACCAGCAGGACTACCCAAGAAATGAAAACATATGCCCATACAAATTCTTATACATGGATGTTTACACAAAATCTATTTAAAATAGCTCCAGACGAGAAATAGCCTAAAATGTGATGTATGCTATTATGATATGGAATACTCTTCACAAAAAAAAGAACTATCGATACACACAACAACAACATGAAATGAATCTCAAACCTGTGCTGAGGGAAGAAAGCTAGTCACAAAAGGGTACCCACTATATGAGTCTACTTAAAACTACAGGAAACTTCAGGAAAGACGAGTTTAATCTATAAAGATAGAAACTAGATCTGTGGTTGTCTGGGGCCAAGGAAAGGTGTAGGAGTGTGGACACTGACTGTAAAAGGGAGCAGAGGGACTTTTCTCAGGTAATATTCGTGTTGATATCCTGATTGTTGTGATGGGTACATGATTATATACATTTGTCAAAATTCATCAAACTGTACACAAAATGGATGCATATTTACTGTATACAAATTATACCTAACCGTTTTAAAACTTACCCATGGGAAAGCAAACACTTTGAAAAAACTGAATACTTAACTCATTTTATAAGACTAACACTATTTTGATACCAAAATTAGACGAAGGCATTCAAGTACCAACTACCTTACTGTGTGTTTATTATTAGCCTTCTATCAAGAAAATACCACACTTGTACACATTGCTATATTTAAAATGAATAACCAACAAAGACCTACTATGTAGCACAGGGAATTGTGCTCATTATGTAACAACCTAAACGGGAAAAGAATTTGAAAAAGAATAGTCATATGTATATGTATAACTGAATCACTTTGCTGTACACCTGAAACTACCACACATTGTTAATCAACTATACTCCAATATGAAACAAAAAGTTAAAAAATATATATATATATATATAAAGAAAAAATAAAGTCTCTATATATTCTATATCCACCAAAAAAAGAAAAAAAAAAACACAGCACTGATCAAACATTTAAAGATACTTAGGGGGTTTCCATGGTGGCTCATTGGTAAAGAATCTGCCTGGCAATGCAGGAGACACAGGTTTGATCCCTGGTCAGGGAAGATCTCATGTGCCACAGAGCGATTAAGCCCACGCATCACAACGGTTGAGCCTGTGCTCTAGTCCGGGAGCTGCACCTACTGAGCATGCATGCCACAAATACTGAAGCCCGTGAGCCCTAGAACTTAGGCTCTGCAACAAGAGAAGCCACTGCAATGAGAGGCCCAAGCACAACTAGCGAGTAGCCCTTACTCAGCACAACTACAGCAAAAGCCCGCATGCAGCAATGAAGACCCAGCATAGCCAAAAATAAATACGTAAAATTATAAAAAAAATTAAAGATACGTAGATATTTGACGCAGGAAAGGGGAAATTTGGATAAAGAGAACAATAATAATAGCTTCCTAACAAAAGTAATCTAATTTACAATTTTATCCTGAAGTCTTGCTACATTTTTCTTTCTTTAAAAACATTCATCTCCTAACCAATCTTCTTTAAAAAGTATATCTCTACTGGAGACGAACTACTGATACTGATTTCCAAAAGCAAGACTTATATATCCCTGCAGCTTTCAATACAACTTTCGACAATTCTTCCAAAATTAGAACTATAGTTCACTCAATTGCTATTAATTAATAAATGAGTTAAGTCAAATCTAGAAGTTTTATGATTGCAAAACCTGTTCATTTTTTGTGAAAAAAAAATCAGACATATATCATGGTAGAGTAACATAATGAACTCTCATCCCAGCCACATACCATCAAGATTACAAATTCAAAGTGTTATTATTTTTGTTTCATCTTTCTCTCTTCTTCTTCTTTCTTTAACAAGCAAATCTCAGATGCCCTTGCTACTTGAATCACATATACTTCAACATATATCTCTAAAAAAATATTGATTTCTTAAAAGATTTCTTTTTAAGATTATCTGTTTTTGCACAGTAAAATATACTATCTAGCTTTCTCAATATATACATGCCTGATTGAATTCTTGTGAATTCTCTTCAACATACTTTTTTTCAATTTCTAAAGCCTATGGCAGTTACATAATTAACAAAAAAAATCAAAGAAGACTCTTTTCTCTAAGGTTTCATTAAGTGTTGATAGCTTATGGCCTGCGTTAAAGCCAGACACCTTTAAATAAAGCATACAGATCAGTTTTTCATTTGACAAGGAAGCTGATTTCTTGCTTGCATAAGGGAATGAACATGGTCTAGTCTTAGCTATCCACTGCTGTTTAAAATATACCATCCCCACATAAGTATGTGTATGTGCTCAGTCATGTTTTATTCTTTGTGACCCCATGAACTATAGTGTTAACAGGCTCCTCTATCCATGCGATTTTCCAGGCAAGAATACTGGAGTGGGGTGCCGTTTCCTTCTCCAGTACATAAGTATACCCTGGGTGCAAAACCATATTCTATTAATACACAACCTAAAAATTAGTACAAAATATTCACAGTCTAGTAACATAGAAGAGGCACTTCTCACTAATTCATGGTCAAAGATTTTTCATAGTCACTTAACATTTATCTTACTAAATGATAAAAATGATAAAAACTTTTGCCTTATACTCTATATAGAGCTCATTATACTCTGAAAGGTACCTGATATATTTACCATATTATTTTGTTTCAGCACTTTATTTTAATAATGACATGAGTTGTACCAGAGTTGACCTGCTAAATTCCTTAAAGTTCAACCCTACGATCTTAGAAGCAAGTAAAAAAATTTACATCCGTGAATAGGCAGTATGTTTAGCACACCCTACCTAGCTGTCTGAAGATAAAGGGATAAGGGGATAGTGATATAGGAATCAACATGGAAAGAAAGCTAATTTCTAGTGTTTCAAATAACGTTTTTGAATTGAAGCATTCTGGCTTTCAATATAAAGCATTTTGTGGATTTTCCCCCAATTTTCCCTCACATCATCAAACAAGAATTAGCTGTGAAATAGTTACTCCAAGGCACATACTTCTTAATAGGTATATTCTACTTCTCTTGTACATTTCTTCTATGTAGGGTACAAACCATTCATTTTAGGAAGAATTACAAGGATTTATCCCTAAGATCAACAAAAAAATGTAATAAGCTTAGAGTAGCTCACTTAGAATCTAATAAAAAATACAAAAGAGATAAACCCTCACCTTGCCTATTTAAGTGCATATAAGAATGGGGCTTGTAATGCATATGTTGACATTGACTAACTTGTGGTTGCATGAGGTAATAGTGCCCTCATTGATACATTATTCATTTGCTGCATGTTACTTGTCCTAACCTTTCAATTTAATTGAACCTAAAAGACCCTATTAAATTCAGTCTGGTTGCATAAGATTATGACAGTCATTAATGAGTCAGATTTTTAAGTGAGTTCAAGATAAACTGCCTGGTTAAGAGGGCTTTTCCTTTTGTTTCCCTGCTGTTACTGCAATGGAAACTAGAATACCAATATTTTTAGGACTTCATTAAAAGTGTAATACTGACTTTTCCTTGTGTCTGAATTAAGTCAGGTTTGAAACTTGTTGGTTACTTGAATTCACACATAAATCAATACCAATGTGGTAAAATTTAAATTGCAACTTTCAAAGTAACACAAGAGACTGACCCAAGTTTACTCTTCACCTAGGGAAAAAAAATGAACTACAGATTTATCTCAGGAATGACCTCTGAGGCAAGTATACAATAAACATTCATTTTGTTTGGTCTTTTCTCCCATCCATTTTCTACCAAAAAAAAACAGACTATAAAAAATTTAAGTCATACAAACAACATCAGAAGTTCTTGCAAATAGCCTGCTTCTTTTAGTTTAAAATGTTTGACTATCTTTTTAAAGCAGTCAAACTTCTCTCTCTCCACATCAGCAAGCTTTTACATTTACTATTGCCTGTTGCTTGAAATAAAGTAAGGGTTTTATTGTGACTGGGTGGTGGATTGGGGGAGGGGAAAGTCATAGTATAGTTTTTGGCACAGATTTCTTGAAAACAAATATTAAAAACTCCAGATCCTCCTAAAAAGTAGTGAGAATGATATCTCACTACTGTAATATCAGGATTTTGCTTTTTACTGACACACAAGTATACCTGAAAATGCAAATTGCACAGCAGTAATTACACAAACCTAGAAAAGGCCATGCTCATAGCTGTATGAATAGTGAAAAATCAAAGTACACTTTATGATAATGATGTCAATAACGATTTTTAAATATATATGTATTGTCACTTAAGGAAATGAAAGATCATTTAAACAATTTGACTGTGAGAAATTGGGTGTTGAGTGGATCATGGTAAAGCTAAATTGTTTCAAATGTATATAAAAAAACCTTAAGTGTAGTGCATTCACTACTCTGAGGACACTAGTCACTGAATCAGAGAGACTATTTAACAAGTCTCCAATTCTTAAGATGATTTATCCCAGTACCTTAAATGATGACACTCTCTATTGAAATCAGACAAAAAGGCATAAAATATGGTTGAGTACGGGCATTTCACACAGTAGTTATTTATGAATTGCTCAAAAAAATGGAGCTCTAAAATTTATTTTGATTTTCTTAAACTCACTCACTTGTGACCAATCTCATGTGCAATGGTAAAAGCTGAACCCAGGCCAATGTCTTCATTAATGCTGCAGCTCCTTTCAGGCTCACACATTCCAGCCACAGAGGCCAAGCCTGAATAAACAGAAGGAGACACAAAGGGTCAAGCCAAGGTGTTTCAGTCTTAAAAAGCCCATACTTATAAATGCCTGGATTCTTTTTAATAACCTCCATGCACAGAAGGAGCAGTTGGCAAAAGGTTAACTTTCTAGTCATTTGCAAAATCACTGGGGGGAGTTTCACTTTGCCGGCTAGACATTAATATTTTTTGAACTGCAGTCAGTGCTGGAAAATGTCTAGACTAGGGGTTAGATTTATAAATTTTACTTCTGGTAACTTGGGACCACCTAGTAACTTGAGCCAGAAGAGGGAATTCAAGAAAGCATTTCTATTTTAACATTCTTCAGGCTGTAGAAAGCAAAATATATCCACATTATTTTTCTAAAGAGATCTGTTTAAGTTTAGTGGGTTCATAAAAATATACAAGCAACTTTTTAGTTACCAAAAAAAGAGAATCCCAAATGGTTTTTTAAAATGACATTTTTATAAAAACATAAATGAATGATTCAAAACAGAAAAAAGAACTGTTAAAGATGGGAGGTTTTTGCATTGTTTTTATTTCATTTTATTTTTTTTTGCATTGTTTTTAATTTTCTGAAATTAGTCCTGCAAGTGATGCAACAATTTCTTTAAGTATTTTAATGGACAGAAAGTCATTCACACATTCGTGTGGTTCTCCCCTCTCTCATTCCCCTAAATGAAGTAGTTTTAGTAATAAGGCAAAAACTATGGTGTTAATTCACTGATTCTGGTGAAATGTTATGTTACTGAAGGCATTCTTCTCTTGGTAATTTTATTATGTAAAATTTTTAATATTTATTTCCAAATGAATACCATGCTCTGTGATTAGTCCATAATTTTAAAACAGTGCTGAGAAAAAAAAATTTGTGCAAAAGATAAAATTTCATGTGTTATAAGGAAATAGATGTCAAGTCATACTTAACACACATATGTACTTAAGTTATTTAGAATAAACTGAAGAAACAGTAAGAAAAAATTTCATATATTAATAGTCTACTATCATCACCCAGATATTAATAATTATCTTCCCACGAAAAGTGATTTCAATCTAATTCAATTAATACTTACTGAATGCAATAAACAATGTTCTGTGCTAGGAGCAATATCCCAGTTGCACTAATTTGGAACAGTGAAAGCTATCCAATTCATATTCTTACTGACAAGAAAACTCTAGAAATTGCGTTTCTATTGTATCCATTAATATGAAATATCAACACTTACTACCATATTGGAACAGAGTTGAGGTTAGTATTAGATTTGCTAATAGACTGTTTGCTTTTCTTACTGTTTTATGTTGGGGTGTAGGCAGGAATTGGGGAAGGAGGTAATTTCTGTCTCACAGAGTTAATAGGGATAACTTTGTTCTGCTCTTCCATTCAACTAGAAGTCTTGAGACTTGAAGTTGGGCAAGATGACTTAATTTTTTTTTTTTTGGTTAATCAAAAAAATTTAATGAATATTACTTCTAAACTCTACAGAGAGAAAAAGAGAGGGAGGGAAAATACGAAAAAGTTTGCAGTCCACTATCTTTTTTAAGCTATTGTGTTCAATATGATCTATAATATGGGAAAAATAAAGCCACTCTATTTGAATATTGTTTCTCTTTTGAACTTTATGAAATCTGGTTTAAAAATTGCTAATATTTATTGCTAAATTAACATTATTTATATTTCCCAAATATATTATTTAAAAGGTTATCTTTTTTTGTTATTGTTGTTCTTGTTTTGTATGTGCCATATAGCCCTATTTTTAATTGAGAATTCTAAATGACTCCCCAAGGTGTATTTGCAAGCACAGATTTACTTCTGCACCTGCTATAAAATTGTTAGCTCTACTAAAAGAACAATCTAAGAAAGAACAGTTCTGGGAAATAACTACAATTTATTGAAAATACAAGGTATATCTTAACTAAAATAAATAATTTAGATGCTAATATATTTTTTTACAACTCCCCACCATTTTTTCTATTCTTGTAAAATTGAAGCTGTCAGTTTTTATGTGTGATTGTGTTAATAAGGGTTTGATTACCATCAGGTCATTTAGATTTCCTCAGTTTGATGGCCAGTTTTCATGCTTAAATCTACTTAGCCATGTCACAATTAGTCACCAGCAGTACTAAGCAAGACAATATCCAAGAACTGGCATAAAATCAATATGAAAGTTACTAAAAAGACCACTCAAAAAGAAAAAAACCTGATCAACCGTGCTGAGAACGTATTTGCCACATATTAAAATCAACACATGTATATATAATGCAGTTCATTCAATCTTCAACATAAGAGATAGTATAAAAATAAATTCATAATAGTTTATAATTTGAAAAATATAGTTTATATTATGATTGAAAATACACTGACATGTACCCAAGTATTAATATATTGATTCTGGACATTAAAATATTCCAAAGCATTAGGCAGTGTTATTTACGTACCAATGAAGAAAGTATCCCAAGTATAAATAAACTGCTTTTAAGAAGCAGAATAGACTATGTACAGATCCTACATATAAATATAGCTCTACATATTTATTTCCTCACAGTATATTTGCTAGAGAATACAAGCTATAGCTGGTATCCTCTTTGGGACTTAGTGGATACTGTACCTAAAACTGATTAAGCACTTAAAGGCTTACAGAATTTTGCACAATAATGGAGGGAGTAAGTTAAACAGTATAGATAATTTCTACATTAAATAATACCAGTTCGTTTCTATAGTAAACACACTTATATTTCCTTAAGTGACTTTAACAATATCCTTGCAGCATAAGGGCAGATATTACTCTTAACTTCATAGACAAGGAAACTGAAGAACAAAGAGCTAAATAAACTGTAAAAGGTAATGCACTAAAACTGTCAAAGCCAGTGGTTGGTTTTTAGCTCAGGTTCCCTTCCTTTCGATTATTGTTGGTCTTGTTAACCTAAAATACTATGAAGAAAACCTTTCTGATGTGAGCTTTCTCAGAAAAAAGAGCTCTTTCTCCGTTTTGGTTTTAACTAGCAAACTTCTCCACCATAATACTTGTCATTGGCAAACTGGGATTTCTTCTTTCACCATAAATCCTGAGGGAAATGGCCTGAGGGAAATGGTGAAGGAGAAGCCTGGGAAAGCAGGTAAAATCATCAAGAGAAATTTTAATTTCTAAAGGGGTATTTCACTGACCTCCTCAGGGAGTCGGGTAATACCTTTTCTCCCACCTCTACTTTAAATTTGATCTTCTCAAAATTCTCATGAAGTGCATAGGAACAGATTTATAACTATTCCTTTACAGATAAGAAAAGTGAGACTTGTTAGAGAGTCTAGAGAATTCACCTTCAGTTGCTTAACTTCTAGGTCTGTAAAAAGTCACTATGACACTGAAAAAAAAAAACATAGAAAAGACTCCTTTTTTACTCCTTTTTTAAAGTAATTCTAGTTGCTTAACAATTTAGTTGACTTGAAAGCTACAATTTTCCCTCATTTGTATTTGCAGTTAACTTTTAACCACTATGAAGTTGTGCTCCACAACAATCATAATTTTTTAAATTCTAGAATAGTATAGAACTGCCCCAAAAATATGATATTTGGGAAGAACAAGGAAGATAATTCTGCTCTCTCTCTAAGTCTGGCTGTAATATTTTACAAAATTGGATTTTTCTCTGTACGGGTAATAAAATTTTCCAATAATATCTTAATTTACGAGGACATAATCTTTCCACAAAATTGGACCAAAAGAAGTACTGTTCTTAATGTCTCTGCATGAAGTATCTCCCAAGTTTCTTTTTCCTTTCCTTTCCTGAGATTTGAAGGTGCTTTAATTTGCCCTCAAACTCTCAGTATTTTGGAGAATACATTACAGAGATGGACTACATGAAAATGAGTGGTAACTTTTGATTTAGTATTACTGTGTGATGATTTTGAAACACCTTCTAATTTGTTTTTAATCATCATTCTACTTGTTTCCTAATCAGTGACATATCCACAAAGGTCAGGTTTAATACTTTTTAGGAATAATTTCAGATGCGCCAGAAACGAAAATTACCAAATTAATAATGATTAAAAAGTAAAACTATTGGACCAAAAAGACAATCTGAACTATCCTCCCTTCATAAAAAACTTACCCAGTGTTCCACAGGGCTTATTTTTATAAGTGCAGATATCATATCTATAGAGGAGAAAAAAGAGAAACGAAATTTGTAATCTGATCAAACTTTTTGAATATTTTATATATTCATCACATTTCTTTCATGTAGCTCTGGTTGTCAGACCACAATCAGTGCAATTATAAACAGCCAGCTGGAGTGTCGGCATTTTCAGCACTCTGGGGGACACACCGGCCGTACTACACTCACAGCCTCTGGCTGCGAGCCAATGGGACACCTGCCAGTAAGAAAGAAAGGTTAAAGTGGATTTTTGTAATTGCAAGTTCCATAAAACCATCTACCATACTGTTTTGAAGCTAGAATAGCTTGTCTGCAGATTGCTACTGCTTCTACAAAAAGCAAACGGGTGGCTTTTTATTCCCAATATCTTTTGGACCTGCTAGAACATTTTGTTTTATTATAGCCACAGACAGTATTTTATACTTCTGAGCAATATTTGGAATTCCTTCAACTCTAACACAGGTTCTTGTTTTGTTTTTTTTTTTAAATAGGGCAAAACAACAATGGGAATAAAATTGATATCATATAGTTTTCCTAGCTTGTATACCAATAATTTAGTGTGGTTAAAACACAAACATTTTACAAAGAACTAAAAAAACAGCTCAACAGAAAGCTTTCCTAATATTGGTTAGATACTTATTCCAATGCTGTACTACATTAAAACTCAATATAAAAAATGGAATCCATAATACTGCATATTTTAATGTATATTACATTTAGAATGCTAAATCAATATTGATGCAGACATTTAAGTACTTTTATAATATCTTTTTAATCTAATCTCTTAAATCAAAAGTATTCAAAGTACTAAAGTGAAAATAAAAAATAAAGTTAAAAAGACTGAACATTTTTGTTTGCCTACAATTTATGCTAGAAATGAAAAGTTTTTTTGGAAAAAAGAATAAACTTTCACCAACTACAGGAAAATCTGTTGGAAAAGTTTTTTTTTTATTGTATATAAATGGTTAGTCCATATCACTTGAAGAAGGGGTTAATAATCAATCTCATTCTTGTTCATCAGATCAAAATGTATTTTCAAGAAACAAATATTATACTGTTGGTTATTTCATTAAAATCCCTGAAGATTCCTTTTGCCTACTTTTGAATTTCAGAATCTTGATCTTGATGACTTTATATCTGAGAAAAGGGATTTCTTCTCTTCTTGCATAACTTTATCTTCTGACCATTCACACATTCACGCCCGCTTTTCCTGTAATTAGTAAACCACAGGATCGCAGTATCTGGTACACTCATAAATATAAGATAGATACCAGTACCTAGTACACTCTTGAATATAAGAGAAAGGGTACTCGGTGTACTTATCAAAGCACCAGAAAATATATTCTGGGTGTCACAATCAATTTATCTTGTGATTACATGTGAAATGCCTATGACATTACATAGACACCATCCAAACCAGCAGTCTTCAACATAACATAAACAGACCTCTCATTGGTAATGCAGATACAAATGCATTACCTATTAGTGAAGTGAAGCCGCTTAGTCATGTCTCTTTGCGACCATGTGGACAGTAGCCCACCATGCTCCTCCATCCATGGGATTTTCCAGGCAAGAGTACTGGAGTGGGTTGCCATTTGCTTCTCCAGGGGATCTTCCCGACCCAGGGATCGAACCCAGGTCTCCCACATTGTAGGCAGACGCTTTACCGTCTGAGCCACCAGGGAAGTCCATTAACCTATTAAACGGAGCCTATTTCCAAACCATTAGCTTCCATTTGTACCCTTTCCTAAAGTTGATTTGCTGAAAATGCATCTGCAAGTCACCAATATTCTGTCCCTCTTTCACTTTTCATAATTAGCCTGTTTCTACTTTACAAAAAAAAAAAGAAAGCATACTTCTCACCCATCCCAAACCTTGTCACCGTGCATTGTTCCCCTGGGGATAAAAGTCTCCTGAGTATAATGCAAGTGGATAATTCAAGAATGCATTGATCCTAGAGGACAATCCTTTATGTGAAAAGCAAGAAAAACTGAAGGGGATGATGCTTGTTTCATCCTGGGAAGATCCTGTGTCTGTCAGTCTATCTGACTGTTTATAAGTAAATCTATCTATCTATCTCATAACGAATTCAGAAGTGAGATGGTTGTCATGGAGTGTATTAACAGGCTGAGTTGATCTATAAAATAAAGACATCAAAGTTTGACTTAGCTAAGTAGTTTGGAAGCTAGGAATGATGTGCTGCTGCTGCTAAGTCACTTCAGTTGTGTCCGACTCTGTGCGACCCCATAGATGGCAGCCCACCAGGCTCCCCTGTCCCTGGGATTCTCCAGGCAAGAATACTGGAGTGGGTTGCCATTTCCCTCTCCAGGAATGATGTAGTCAGTTAGATTTTATGTAGACATTTTTTCATGACAATGAAACAGGCACCTCCAAAGTTTTGAAAAAATTTATTTGAAGCATATACACAATATATGTTTTTAGCTATAGTCTCTGTAGCTACTTAAACTTGCAATTAAAAGTATTTTAGATTTAAAATATGAAAAGTGGTACATCATTTCTCAAAATTATTTTATGGGTCAAATTCAGCAAAAAATTGGAAAAGCAGAAACAACTTATATTTCCACCTCTTAGCAGTCCTTTCTTATCTTCTTTCCTTGTTCTCATTTTGCCTATACCCTTTATATTACACTCATGATGAATATTATTTCATTCTGTCATGACTACAAAAATACTTACACAAAGGCTAAAGACACCAATAATAAAAGCTAAAACATCCTAGACTAAGATATTTCTATTTGCATTTTCTTCAGCTTTCTCCAATCCTTTTAATATATCTATAGCATTTTCTATAAGCCATTCTATAGAGAAAAGACATCATTTCTTATTGGCTTCTTCATTCAATTCACACTCTATCCTTCTCTATTGTATACTCACAGAGAACAATTATGACCTATGCTTCACCTATAATATCAAGTACTAAAAGCAACATTTTTACATTCATTCTTTTATATACAGATGTACTGAGTACCTAGCATGTGCCCAGATATAGTGCCATATACTTGAACCTGAAAATGAACAAGTAAGCTATAGTCTATTTGGGAAAAGACACATAAGCAGATAAGTTACAAAATGTGACAAGATGATTAAATAAATGTTAAAAAGCTAAACTTACACATAATAGAGCCAATATTTGCTAGCTATTATAATTAAGATTATTGTCACTATCAAGTTATAAACAAAATACTGTGGAAATACAGATGAAGGAAAGATTCCGTAATAGAAAACTAGGAAACAGATGCATATAGAACATAACATCTGAAATGGATTTCAAAGATCTAGATAGATAAAATAGAAAAGTAAATGCATTCTAGGTAGATAACAAAATAGTCAAAGAAGCAGAGTTTGGAAAGGGTATGGCATGTGCAGGGAACCATGAAAAGTTCAGAGAGGCTGAAACACTCAAAGTATAGGGTAAAATATCACAATACAAATTTGGGGAGTTGTTGTGGGAAGGCTACAGTATTAAATACCCTGAATGCCAAACAGTTTTTTTTTTTTCATATAGGCAAAAGAAACTTAAAAATAAGTTTGCACAATAGGAAACATTTTTAAGTATGTTTATATGAATGTGTATACAGGTTAAATTTGCATACAGATAAGTGTGGAAGGTAAATGGTGGGTATCTGAGAGTGGGAGGTGCAAGAGTGGGGAGAATATAATGATTTTTACTCTTTTTACTATGTGTGCGTTTGTTGCTCAGTCATGTTAGACTCTCTACGACCCCATGGACTGTAGCGCTGTCCGTGGAATTCTCCAGCAAGAATACTGGAGTAGATGGCCATTCCCTTCTCCAGAGGAACTTCCCAACCCAGGGATCGACCTCTGGTCTTCTGCCTCGCAGGCAGATTGTTTATCATTTGAGCTACAGGGAAGTCTCCTAAAAAAAAAAAAAAAATGAGGCCTTAGCACCTGAACAGGGACATGAACCCTGGACCCTCCGATTAAAAGTCTGATGCTCCAACGACCGAACTAACCAGGCAATGTATACTCTATTACATCCTCCCTAAGTATTAGTCGCTGAGTCATGTCTGACACTTTGAGACCCCATGGACTGTAGCCCATTAGGCTCCTCTGTCCATGGAAATTCCAGGCAAGAACAGTGGAGTGGGTTGCCACTCTCTTCTCCAGGGATCTGCCTGACCCAAGGATTGAACCTGGGTATCCCGCACTGCAGGCAGATTTCCTTACTGTCTGAGGCACCAGGGAAGCCTAATAAATTTTTATTTAGCCAAGATTTAATCAGAAAGCATTTTGGCTATACGGGCCTCTGATTATCAACACAAGAGATAACTGATAACTAGCCTAATTAATGTTTAATACATGTTACCTGCCTTCTGAGAAACCTGTGTAGGACAAAAAGTAACAGGTAGAACTGGACATGGAACAATGAACAGGTTCAAAATTGGGAAAGCAGTATGTCAAGGCTGTATATTGTCATCCTGCTTATTTAACTTATATGTAGAGTACATTATTTGAAATGCTGGGCTAGATGAATCACAAGCTGGAATCAAGATTACCAGGAAAAATATCAATAACCTCAGATATACAGATGATACCACTTTAATGGCAGAAAGTGAAGAGGAACTAAAAGCCTTTTGATGAAGGTCAAAGAGGAGAGTGAAAAAGCTGGCTTAAAACTCAACATCCAAAAAAACTAAGATAATGGTCCTATCACATCACGGCAAACAGATCAGGAAAATGTGGAAACAGTGTCAGATTTCATTTACTTGGGCTCCAGAATAAATGCAGATGGTGACTGCAGCCACGAAATTAGAAGACACTTGCTCCTTGGAAGAACAGCTATGTCAAAGCTAGATAGTGGTGAAATGTATGGAGAGAGTAACATGGAAACTTACATTACCATATGCAAAATAGATGGCCAATGGGAGTTTGCTGTATAATGTAGGGAACTCAAACAGGGGCTTTGTATTGGTGAGATGAAGATGGAAATGGGAGGGAGGTTCAAGAGGGAGGCGACATA